TTTAATGTAAGGCCATTTATTAAAATAGACAAACCACAAGATGAAAATGAAGGTAACAGAAAAATTCAACTTTCACAACCAAAAAACCCAGCACAACTTAAAAAATAATTTAGAGTGTTGTAAAAGGTGTGTTGCAGATTTGTAGTCCTCTAACCAAGATTACATCAACTCTTAATTCTAAATAAAATCTTCTCAGTATATATGTAAATTATGTGTCTTATGTCTTTATACATCATCTCATTTCATGAATGGATTTGAGGTGGCCCAACAGAAAATTTGAGTCTAGGCCAAATCATTTTCTTCATTAACTCATAGTTGGCTTCTGGAGACCATAAATGTAAGGAGAAAAAATACGTGCTTACAAAATGCAGTTAAAGTATAACTTCAGTGACTTAATGCAGAGGTTGCTAAATGGCTTTATAAAGGGCAGGTAGTAAATATTTTAGGCTTTACAGGCCGTAATAAATCTGTTGGAACTGCTTGAATCTGCTCATACAGTGAAAATGAACAGGTATGTCTCCTCAATAAAACTTCATTTACAAAGAGAAGCAACCAGCCTGCATCTTATTTTACCAACACACACATATATTTCATCAAGTTGAGCATAGCACATCCTTCCTTCTCAGTGTGGGGTTCCTGAGGACTTAAAGGATGGATAAGCACTTCAGAGTGACAGAATCTCGGGGAGCATGATGTCTGTGGTGATATGTATCCATGACACTGTAGGCCATACTGAGATGAGTCCACTTCCTGATGTATCCTGGTGCTTTGTCCTTCAAGCCAGGTTTAAGTAATATGGCTGCACACAACTGACTTGGCTGGCGTGTGGGGGAACGGAATGAACTTGTGTATTCACCTTTTGTGAAGGTGGTGTCTTTTTAATCAGCTGTTTAATAATCCTTAATTTTTTCTCAATACCTTTGGGTTCTGGTTTGACCTTGTATTAATACATTATGAGGCTGCCATCTTTATTCTATTCCTCCAGATTCACCGAGTGAAAAGTAGTTAGCTAGCATGCTCGTACTGACTGGGCCTGGATGGTGTTTTGTGATTGATTTCATGTCCTTTCACTGCAGGCATTGTTTAGCAAAGCTGTTGAAGTGAAGATTAAACAACTAGCAAGAGAATTAGAAGATAAGAAAGGAAAAGCTGCAAAGATGCTTGAAAACATCATTGACTTGTTTAACCAGGTCAGAACTGATGGGTGGCAAACTCATAGTTTTCTTTACAGTATCCAGAAGACAGACAGGACAGAGGATGTATACAAATTACACTAGAGAAGTCCTGGCAGCAGTGGTGTATATGGTGGGATTTACACTTGAAATAGAGATAGAACATTTTTTATGTGCTTTCTTCTACCTACAGTTTATGATGCAAATTTTTAGGTATATTGAGTAGCTTTCTCCTAGAGAATCAGGATTCAGTTGCTGAATATGGATATGTGTTGCTAATTTTCATTTAAGCCAGCCTTCTTGAGGAAATTCAGTATAATGAAGGACACAGGTGGGTGAGACAGTTGAGTTTGGGGAGGTGTGTGGCTGTGGAAGAGCAATGATGAAGATGGGGAAAGGCAATGGAGCTAGTATTTGAGTGTCTTGTACATGTGGGCACTTTACATACCTTGTTCTGTTATCCTTGCATAAGACAGGGAGAGTGGTTATTACAATTTGCAATTTTACAAATGAACAAACGAATGCTAGTAGTGTGGATCCAATTTCAGGCGTATCTTAAACCAAAACTTTCTTATTTTAACGATGATGCCTTCCATCAGCATGGTCCCTCAAACGAGATCTAGTTACAGTGAAAAGTTTGTGTCATAGAATGTTGGGCTCTTTAGTTATACAGTCTAATCTCATTTGTAGATGAGGAGCAGAATAAAAGGCAAGTTTCTCATGAGTTTGAATGTTCTTTGGGTAACACGGATATGTTTATCTCATCATTTGTATTTGTTTATCCACACTCCAGTTAAGAATGCTCCCTGTGGGGAAAGGAGCAGCACAGGGTACTATGCCCAGTTTTCTAAGATGGAAACATTCATATCCAGAATTTGTTTAAAGGTGACTTCTTCTGTTTTGTCTCCCTGTCTTACAGACAGCTGGTGACGCTATTTCTGACATGCTAGTGATTGAAGCGATCCTGGCTCTGAAGGGCCTGACTGTGCAGCAGTGGGATGCTCTCTACACAGATCTTCCAAACAGACAACTCAAAGTTAAGGTGTGGGAGAGATCTTCAGATAACCTTTCTGAACATTAACTCTTATTCCAAATCTCACTATATAAAACTGTTTCTTTACTGTTTTAAGTAAAACACTTCAGAGTTATTATGTGATTGTTTTTATCTATTTTATTATTTGAGAAGTCTTTGCTTTCCAATTTTACTATAAATGGTATGTGTGACTCTGCATCAATCTTTAAAAGAAGATTTTATTATGGAAAGCCCAAAAACAAAATTGTAAGCCCTTATGTACCCAGCTTCAACAGATCTCTGCTACTGCCCTATATATTCTCTGTTACTGCCCCCTCCCCCTACCCACCGCCCTGAATTATTTTGAAGCATGTAGCCCAGGCGGACTTCGAACTCATGATCATCCTGGGTACTGGGATTACAGGTATACAATGCCATGCTTGAAAAGTACTTCTTGATGCTAGGTGCTGAGAAGTAGAATCTGGGCTTAAAGAGAGAGATTTCTAAAGGCATTTCAGATAAATTGCTATTAGATTTGTATATAGGTTTATGCCAGTCTATATATTCTTTAGTAGAATTTGTTGAAATACAATTAGAGTTCAGCTAGAGTTCACAGAAAGGGCTGCTGATGGTTCAGATTAGGTTTTAGCATATTTAGGAGATTCTTATCATAGCCCCCTTTTAATAGCTTGCCAATTATCCTATTAAAAAATACCTAGTTATTTCATCAATAACTACACAGATCCATGGTATGATATGGAATTTTATGTCAGTATTTACTGGCCATTATTTTAATGGTAATTCTGAGAAGTGTGTGGAAATGTCTTGTTTGGCTAAAGGTAATTCTTTAGAAAAGTTACACAAATGTTGAGATTAATAACCTTGGCCCTTCACTATCTCAGTGTTGTACTTTGTGATACAATAAGCTGTATCACATAAAAGATCCATACTGCTTTGATTAGACGCATGTGAGCAGGTTAGGCTTCTGAAGGGGAGCGTAATATAAAATAGTAAATGTGGAGTGCTTGTGCTTAGGTTGCAGACAGGAGAGTTATTAGCACCACGGATGCTGAAAGACAAGCACTTACACCGCCTGGACTACAGGAGGCAATCAATGACCTGGTGAAGAAGTACAAGCGCTCCCGAGCTTTTGTCCGGCCCTCTGGTACAGAAGATGTCGTCCGAGTATACGCAGAAGCAGACTCACAAGTAAGTGGGGAGAGTTCTACTGAAAGAATGTGCAGTGAGAGTCTACCAGCACATGGGAGGAACATTAGAAGAGAGAAAACTATTTTAATATTGTTTGGAATCTTACTCTGACAAGAAGTAGGTCTTTGAGATTTGTTAATAGAGCATTTTAGGATCAATATATTAAGACTCAAAATTATTGTGATGAATAGTAGTTAAAATTTCCCCACATATTTTTCTTTTGTGTCATTCTAACTATGGCAGGAATAGCTACTGAATTCTTAGTTTGGCACATTCTAATGTTATTTCTGGGCTTTGAGATTTCTTTTAAAAATATTTCCTTTAAGTGACAGCCATACTCTGTGCCTCTGCTATTTGGTCAGAAACCTGTGGTTTGCATTTCCTTAATTTGCCCTCCATATATGCTTCATCTTGCCTGTTATCTTAACTGCTTGATAAAAGTGCTTCTTATAGCCAGAGCAAAGTACACTGGATTGAGTAGTGACTCAGAAGGAAAGAGAGCCAGTGTATTAAGCAAGGTAGACCGTCTCCAAATATCATGAATGAATCTCTCTGATGGAAGAAATAGGGCAAATGAAGTCCAAGAGTTACTCTTAGGCAAAATGTGACCTTTAGGGGATTTGTTTTTATTGAGTTTGGGGATAATTTTATAACCTGAACTGATGTATTGGAAACTTACCTTGTTTAGAAGAATTTGACTCACTTTAAATTTATTTGAAAGTCTTGGCCTTTCCATTTGAAAACCTCCATGAAACAACATCAGGAAGCACCCTCCCCTACAGCTTGCAAGTGACATAGTAGATGCTGTGTCTCTCTCATCTAATCTCCTTTAATGTGATTTTCAGGAAAGTGCAGATAGCCTTGCACATGAAGTGAGCTTGGCAGTATTTCAGCTGGCTGGAGGAATCGGAGAAAGACCTCAACCAAGTTTCTGAAGATAATTTTTATATACTGAGAAACTGGATTTTCTAAAAACTGTAGACACTGTCACAGTCATGGCAGCACTAAGATATCTGTAATCATAGTGTTTACAGTGCACGTTAGTGGATTGTTTGTACATCTGTTTTTCCTAAACACTACCAGAATAATTCTTTAGAAATAGGTAAGCCTTACACTTGTTAAGAAGCTTACATGTGATTCAATCAATCATTACTTCTCCAGGGTTTGCGGGAACAATTTATGCAGGATGCTGGAAAATTAAATTTTATTACCAATTCCTTGTGATGTCTTTGTTTCCCATTACCTAACCCAGATTCGCCATTCTTGATATATTTGGGGAGGGTGGAGAAGACTGTATAACCAACTTTTCTATGGTAGATCTTCAGAGATGACTACTTGCCTATTTAGCTCCAACAGGAACTGAGGTGAGAACAACAGTGAGGCTGTCCATCCCTCTTGGGCACTGAAGTGGAGGTGTTGTACTTGTGAGGATACATGGTCCAGGCTTCAGTTATATTTCACTGCTGTTAGTGAGGGATGTAGAAGACTTACACCTAGTAAGTGACCAAGCCTTTGATTGCAAAGTGACACCATACTGACACCAGAACATTGTTAACAATGGAAAGGAGAAAATCCCCAACTAATCCAAATTAAAGACCAAAACCAGTATCAAAAAATGTGCAGTGTGTATTTTGCAGATTCAAGACAACTTAGGACAATAAAACAATGGGCTATATATGGATATATAGATCTCTCATAGGCACCATAATCAGTGAGCCAATATTTAAACTTGATTCTGGCCACATTCAGACATTAGCTCTTATTTACAAATATTTAAATTAAATACAACCTGAAGTGTGTTTTGTTACATACAAAAAAGAAAATAAAACTATACAACTCAGAGCAGTGTGTTTGTTTTAAATAATTACATTTAAGCTAAATGGAACCACAGGTGGTGGTCAAGTTTTTATCACCCCTTCCAGAAAATCTTTTTCTACCATTTCTTCTATTTTTTGCCTGGCTCTGCTGGAAAATGGTTTATGGTTTTCCAGTTTCATGTCCTTATTAGAGAAGGTGCTTGAGTAGAGGATGGGGCTCCCTGAGTGTCCTCCATAACGGCTTGTGACTTTGCTGTTGAAGACTTGGCTGAGAACATTGAAGAATGGCAGGAGCTGTTCCATACTGCGCACGGTGCAGATGGTAAGCAACAAGTGTCCTGGTTCCCAGCCCAGTGTTCTCCCTGAGTTGTCTTCCTCTGGATTTTTCTGCAGGAAATAAAGAAGGGGTGGGGGAGAAGAGTGTAATTAACAGACGATGTAGTCTAGAAAATTTAAAAGGACAAGAGTTGAGAAATGAAGACAAGTGATGAATGTCATTTCAGACTTGGCCTTTTAGTGCCACATGCTAATTTTAGATAGAGGGTTCTAATACCTCTTTTGAAATATTTTCCAACTAGAATGCACAAGTTCAGTTAGCAGAAATGATATTGGACAGGGATAGAATCAAAAATAAAAAGTTGATTTTGTGCTTTGCATATACTCAAAAATCTAATTTCTGGGCTCTCAGAAATATAACCAAGGATGGGGACACAAAGTGATTACAAAAGAAAATGAAGAAGAGAAAGTTTTATATACTTCATCATTGGTAAATCAATTAATTTCCTTTTAACTAAATGACCTAATCTTGCTATAAGATGGTAGTAGGATCCAAAAAGTGAATAATTACTGTCAGTATTGTAGCACAAAAAAAGGAAAGAAACCCTCAGGTCTAGACTGTGCTAAGTAATAAGGTCCAGCTTCTCTCTCCCCTTAAGTCAAAGGAACTGTCTTAATGTCCACTCTGCCATTTACTTACTGTGTTGATTTCTCATAGCCTATCCTATCTGTCTTGCAGTAGGGAAGTCAAGTGAAAGTCATATAAAAACTAAAATATAAACATCAGGAATTTCTATATTAACATACTACTTTGGACTGGGGACATGGCTTAAGTGGTGGAGTGCTTGCCTATCACACAAGGCTTTGGTTCCATCTCTAACACCACCACAAAAAAAGAGAAAGCTTTAAGCTATCATCCCAAACTTTTGGGAGGCTGAGTCAGGAGGATCATGAGTTCAAGGCTACATAATGAAACCTTGTCTCAAAAAAAAAAAAAACCCAACAAAAAGAAACATGTGGTTGTGCAAGTCATAATCCTGGCACGTGGGAGGCTTGAGCAAAAAAATCATGAGTTCAAGCCTAGCCTGGACAACACAGCAAGTCCCTGTCTCAAAAACCAAACCAAAAAAAAAGGTGGTTTCTTTTTTTTTCTCCCAAGAAGCCAATTAAACTACACAAATAGCTTCTCTAGTATAGCCAAATAAACTACACTACAGAAAGAGATGAATGAAGATATTTAAATTTGGGCAAAATCACAGATTTAACAAAGATAATGAAAAAACAATGAACTAGGTAAAACAAGGGGAAAAAATAGACACAGGAAGAAGAATTAAGTCTATCAAACTCATTCACAAGTGGAGTTTTCCTTGTAAGAGGATATGTTGCTGAGACACTTTTGTCGTATCACCAATTTCCTAGTGTGACCTCAAGATTGCTTTGCTTATTTTAGTGGTCCTGGGGATCAAATTCTAAGTTTTGTGCTCTAACAGTGACTTACATCTCTAGCTCTATTTGCTTATTTTAAAGTAAAATCCTAAGGAAAATAGATATGTTAAAACAAAAGACTCCACAAGCAAACAAAAGATCACCTATTAGTTTACCTGTCCCCTTCACCACTCAAAAAACACCAATGGAAAAACCTAGCTATCACTTGGTTTATTTCTTAGCAATTACTTAACCTCTAATCTAGATTGCAGGACATACAAACACATCTCCCAGTCTCTCAGTGACAGTGGCTGTAACGTTAGAGAGTCCTGTGACTGGCTTCCACATCACTGACTGCCATTACTTCATTACTGTCTGACTGTACTGCCTCTCTTCCCTTACATCAAACTGCAATTTAGTGGTCAGCAGAGGATGTAAAGAGATGAATTTTTCCCAAAGGAAAATGAGTACTAGACTTGCACCCTCAATAAAGCTAATATCCAAATGTAAGAGAACTATGGTGTCATGTTGCAGTGATGGGTTTTTCACTAACCTCTTGACCAAAAAGAGCACATTTGCTTCAGGGTTTCTGCTGTTGTTCATCAGAACTACACATTATTCTCAACATTAGAATCAAACATGTTTCCATACAAATGATTTCTCATTTGACTTTACCAGTCTTTCCTATTTACCTCTTTTATATTTGCTGAAATCCAGACCTGGATTTGTGTCTCAATATGTGGTCTAGATTTTGCTGCTATACAAGCATCAATCAACCACCCTCACCTGATGCTTGGCCATCTCCAATCCCTCCAAAATCACTGTCTTAAAGTCTTCCTCCTTGTCCTGTGGAAGGAAAGAGAACTCACAGCCTTTGTTCCAGTGAAAAGTATGGTTGGCCATGAAGACCTTGTTTAAAAGTATTTGGATGGAAAGATGCTTTCCAATCAGAAAAGCTGTCTTAATCTGTGGGACAAGTTTTTTAGATTGGGGGGGATGTTAATAACTATCTCACTCACTACATGTAAGACACAGGAAAAACAAAGGGCTACATGTACCTGATATGTAATCACACTGCTACTTGATTTGTCATGGTTATTTTTCTAAACTCTGTATTGATGAAAGTAACCTGCTGTTAAACTCTGGATCCACCTTTCATCCGCATCTCAAGAAGTGACTGGGATTTTAAATCAAATTCCTCATGCCCTTTGAGTAGAAGCTCCTATTTAAAAATTTTCTTCCCATTTCTACAGTACATGGAATCCAGTGTAAGGGTTGCTGCTTGACTAGGACAATCTACAAGGCTAGAACATTTCGGAGCAGTCGAAGCACACAATGCAAACTAGGTCTCACAAAACAATCTAGACCCCCAGATTATACAACATGAATTTGAAAATTCTGGAATGCAAAAGAAAAGATGACAAAAAAAATAACAAAAGAAAGATGACAAAAGGCCCAAAGATGAATATGTCAATTTCATTACTCTTCTGTTAGGGACAAAGATATATAATAAGCCTGCTGCATACTGAAAGATAAAGTATTTAAATGATATAAACATTTTATAAGTTTTTATCTTCTTATACCTTATTTATGGTATATATTTGAAGTAAATGCCTACTTTTCACCTTGAGGAATTGTTCTATGTAGATGCTTTGTATCTTGAATCCCTTTACCTTTATTTTCTTTTTCATGGCAGTACTGGGATTTTGAACTCAGAGCCTCACACTTGCTAGGCAGCCACTCTCTTATTTGAACCATGCCTAAGGCTTTTGCTTTAGTTGTGTTTTGCATAGGGGCTGGCCTGGGACCACAAGCCTCCTACCTGGATGGGGTCACAGGTGCATGCCACCATGCCTGGTCCCCTTCACCTTTCTAATAGAGACCTGTTAATTTTCAGCAGCATTTTCAAAACTGCAGGCTAGAGGGGGTGGGGATGGGGATTCTTGAACTCTAATAAAATGAAACAATATTAACAATAAGAACTGTAGGAAAGAACAGTATATATCTCTGTCTTTAGGACATAATAGAAAAAAAGAGAAAAAACACTGACTTGGAAAATTTTTACCATGTGCATTTTACATCATATGCATAAAGAGAATGAATGCTAGTGATTATTCCCTTTATTATTCTGGGAGGTCTAGTGAATTCAATTTTGATAAAACGTTCCTATTTACTTATTTATATAGGCAGTACTTGGGTTTGAACTCAGGGCCACACACTTGCTAACCAGGCACTCTACTACTTGAACTACACCCTCAGCTCTTTTTTGCTTTAGTTGTTTTTTAGATAGGGTCTCATCTTTTTGCCTGGGGCAGGTCTCAGATGGTGATCCTCCTACTTATGCCTCCCACTTAATGGGATTACAAACATGCACCAGCATGCCTGGCTTATTTGTTGAGATGGGATCTTGATAATTTTTTGCCCAGGCTAGCCTTGAACCAGGATCCGCCAATCCCAAGTAGGTGGGATTACAGGTATGAGCCACCATATCCAGTCCCCAGTTAAATTTATTAAAATTAAAAAATGTATCTTTTCATCTACTGATTATTCCTTGTTGAAACCAATCTGACAAGCTTATTCTTCAAATCCCTCGTAGTACTACATTTTTCTAGTTAGCTCACATCTTCATGTTTCTCATCATGGCATGAAGATAAATATTGTGCTTGTGTAAAATTCTTAAGTTTTTGACATGAAAATCTTTTAGGGCTAAAGTGCTAAGTACTTACCTGCATGTTTCCAAGGTTTTTACTCTTTTTTGAGGAGAAAATATTTTAAGATAATGTTAATAATCAAAAGACTTCCTTTTTTTAAAAAAATAAATGATAATCAAATATTCATTTAAAATGCATATAATGTATTAAAATTTCATGAATATTAGGTTATGGAAATTAATCCTTAAAATTGGGAACTTGTTTTCAAAATATTTCAACAGTGTCCTTAGTTTCCCATGAAGTATTTAATAAACGACTCACTAATGCAACAAGGTAGTAGCATAATGTGACAAAACAAAACAAGAATTTAATACCTTTGCCCTTTTCCGAAGAAGTTTTGCTAGTCGTACCACATAAGGTTTAAATTCTCGTTGATGTATGCCTTGCCTTCTGACTTCCAGACCCGAATCATCTGAGGCTTCTGGAATAAAGGCCCATCGGTACCTATGAAGTGAATGATGATATCAACATCAGAAAGTAAGCTTTGTGCTATCTCAGATGAGCCTACATAATTTAGTAGACAGATAGATCATGATCCCATTTTTTATAAATTCAAGCACCCTGGTAGCCTTGTATCTTGTTTATATTTCTTCTTTGAGCTGTTTTTTTTTATCTGTATATATAGTATTAAATACTGCATAGGGTTGTAAGAGATACATAATAATAATGACACAAAATGCACATGCACTACTTTTTTCATGAACACAAAGCAAGTATTCAACAAGTGTTCCCATTCTCATTAGCTAATGAGCAAAAAGGTTTTTGTTGTTGTTTTTGTTTTTGTGAGACAGGGTCTTGCTATGTAGCTCAGCCTCTGAGTGCTAAGATTAGAGGTGTGTACCACCATGCCCTGCTGGCAAAAAGTTGGAAAGTTTTAAAATGAAATTGCTTTTATGTAGCTTATCTGTTTTTACTATAATACAATTTGATGACAACTTGGTTTTCCAACATATAATGGGTTAAATGTTTCCTACCTATACACTAAGAGGGCAAAGAACTGAAAGAATTTAAGAAAAAATTCAAGTAAGACTTCTTTCCTATCTCCCTTCCATTTTGGCCCATTTGTCTTTAGTAAGTTAAATTTAATATCTGACTATAGAAAAAATTCAAGCAGTATAAAAGGGCATACCAAAGAAAGGTAGTCTCCCACCATATAACCCACTGACACTGCCAATTTCTTGTATTATATTATTCCGGAGAGAGTTCATTCATAGAAGAACACATTCATATAACCAACCCTCTCCTCTTAGAAAAAAAAAAAAAAAAAGCTGGGCATCGGTGGCTTATGCCTGTAATCCTAGCTGTTCAGGAGGCACAGATCAGGAGGATAGTTGTTCGAAGCCAGTCTGGGCAAATTGTTCTGTGAGACCCTATCTTGAAAAAACTCTTCACAAAAAAGGGCTGGTGGAGTGGCTCACGGTATAGGGCCTGATCAAGCCTCAGTACCACCCAAAAAAAAAAAAAAAAAACAGATGTACGGGCTGGGCATGGTAGTGCATGCCTTAGTCTCAGCTACTCAGGTTAGAAGTAGAGGTAGAAGGATAACAGTTTGAGGCTGGCCTGAGCAAAAGCCCAAGACCACATTGGAAAAACAAACTGAAAGCAAAAAGGACTGGGGCATGGCTCAAGTGGAAGAGTGCGTGCCTAGCAAGTATGAAGCCCTGAGTTCGATTCTTAGTGTGGCCAAAAACCAAAAACAGACATGGGTTGGGAGTCTGACTCAGTGGTAGAGCACTTGCCTGGCATGCATGAAGACCCTGTACCACCCCTAGCACCATGGAAAAAAATAAAGACCCGGACATAATTGCTATCTGCTATTTGTTTTGACCTCAGTATTTAGTATGGAGTTCATTCTATATCAAACCCCGTTCTTTCTAAAGCTACATAGTACTCCAGTGTTGGAGGTACAAAAAAATTTTTTTTTGATGGTACTGGAGTTTTGAACTCAGGGCCTCAGCAAGCACTCTACCACTTGAGCTACAGTTCCAGTCCTGGAAGGTACTGATTTAGCTAATCTCCTAGACTGTCCAATCTTGGTATTACAAAAGTACCTCACAGTTACCCTGATACAATGATTATTTTTGTGCACATCTGTGAGTAGAGTGTTAAGATAAATCTTTAAATGTAGCAGAATTACTGACTTAAAGAAAATGTTTATTAAAACAATCTCTTTGGAGGACAAGTGGACAAAACCAATGTACACTCCTAACAAGAATAAGAATGCTTCGCTGTTAATGATAAAAGAAAAACAGCTTTTAGACCTTTGCTGTTCTGATAGTTATCTGTACTTTTAAGTGGACTTTCCTCTTATGAGTACAGCTCAGGACTTTTCTCTATGTTTAGAAGCTATTCTTTTTCTTCCAGTGCTGGGGATTAGACCCAGGGCTTTGCTCATGGTAAGTGCAATTCTACTGCTAAGCTATACCCCAAGACCTGTCTTCTTTCCTTTTGTAATAACAATATCCTGACTGGGATAGAGGATAAACTAATTTTGGTCCATGTCATAAAGGTAAAAAGTCACACCATAAGCTTATTACTTAATGTCCTTGCCAGAGTACTGAATATACAATGTTTATCACTTTGGTGAATGTAAGTATTTTATTTTGGATACTTTCCTATAATTCTGCTTAGTATCCTTTTGCAAAATTCTTTAAAGTAACTTCAGTTAAAAGATACCCAGCTATTAGAATTCATCAAGATGCATATACAAATGGAAAAAAATTAAAGGAACTGAAATTAATCTAAAAATATTTTCTAGTTATCATTAAATTTAATAGAAAGTAAGAAATTTTTGGATATTTAAGCATGTCCAAATTAAAAAAGATAGACAATTATGATATCCTATTCTTTACCCTATTAATATTTTATTTCAGAAGAATAATGTAATAATATACTATGTAAACATCTATTTGATCTTGTATACAAATTCTCAAATTATCTTAGCTAAATTATGATAAAACCTTACATAGTTTGGCTATTTAAAAAACTTTAGATATGAAAAACCATAATTAAGTATTTCTGAGCATTTATGAACAAGATGTGAGAATTTACTCTTATCAATATTCTCCTTTTCAGTTCAGTTCTCCATCATGTCAAATAAAACAGCCACCTTCATGCTAGTCTTATCCATCTCTAGTTTTTTTTGCACATTACACAGCCAAAATAAACTTCCAAAAATGCAACCCCAATAATATCACTTCATTCCTTAAGAATGCTTCAATGGCTTCCCATCTTCCTTAGGAGAGTCTGCTTTCTCCAATACAGATCATGAGGCTCACATGATAGATTTCCTTTCCAGCCTCTTCTCTCAGCATTCTACTCTAGCAATGACCTTTAAACACTACAGACATGCCATCTGCTTTTGCCTCTGTCTTCACACTGCACCCCCAACTGTCACTCTTCTCTGCCTCAGTCTAAACCTCCAGCCAGGGCCTGCTCTGAACCTCAAAGTTGGGAGAAACATCTACACTGTGTGGGCTCACAGCAAAGATGCTATCACAATATCCACCATGTGTTCACTTGTATCTTTACTGGACTTGAAGCTCTGAGTCATGTACCCCACTGCCTCACATCTGGAGGATACACCATTTGTTGACTGAATGGTCTTTTAATACATCCACATCAACCACTTACTTCCAATAAAACAGTGCAGGCCCACCTGTTGCCAATAGAATTACATCTTGGTAAAAATTATGAAATTTAAAATTATTTCAATTTAACAAAGAATTTTAAAATTAATCTTAGATGTCAATGACCAAAGCAAATATATTCACTTAATACCCTTAATATCCACTCAATACCCTTGTTTTTACTTACATTTGAAACTGAGGAAGATTTTCAGACGGCAATGCCAGAGCCAAATCCAAAAATTTGCAAGCAGAAAGATAGAGGTTTAACCACCGCTGGCTGTTATACGAAGTAGAAAAGCCATTACCTCCTGTATAGGTTGTTTCCAGACCAGCCACAGAGGGGCCTGATGTCCTATAAACAGGAGACAGTGCTGTCAGCAGCTGGACCCATTTGCTCACAGGGAATTCCTGGAACAGCTAAAGTACCAGCTAGTATTTGTCATAGTCATCTGATTACCAGTGATTGCCAAATTATAGAAATGATAAATTTTACTGTTATCAGATAAAAACTTCATTTTTCTTTAAATTTTAAGAATATAAACACAGTAATTTGATGTATACCCAAGAAATATAAAAATATAAACTGTGTAATGAAAGAAACCTTATTTCTACTCAGTTGCTTTCTGCAAATATGAGGGGAAGCTTTCTGTAATAATAAACACAGTTACTAGTATAGGCGACTCTTTTTTTAAAATTCGCAATAAAGAATAATGTATCTTCAAGACATTCTCAAAGAAAGGAACTTTTCAATTTATAAATTTATATGAAAATTTCCTGTATAAGTTGAAAATGTAATCATACATTAAAAAACTTCTTGCTAAAGAGAATACAGTTAGAGTACATTTTATTAGTAACACTCTAGAAAACCTGGACATAAGGATAGGATACCATGGTTATTTTACCTGCCATAGTAGGCTTTGTTATCTGTTATAAGTTTCAAGAACCAGATCTGACCTACCAAAACCAGCACAATTCATGTAGCTGAAACACTATACTCTATTAAGCTAAATTTGTATCTGCAGGCCAGAGGCTATGAATGCTGATAATTTAATCTACTCTACCATTTTGTGAATAAGGGAAATTACATTATATCTGAATATGATCAATTAAATAATGGACTAATCATATAAAATATTTATATTTTGCCTATACGCTCTTAAGTGTATATTAGTGTCTATACTCTCTTATTTGTTAAGCAATATTCTGGCTAATCTCAGGATATTAATGGTTAAGAACATACTGAAATAAATTACGTTATTACCGTGAAATATCTTCATCAGCAGTGAGTTCCTGCTCCATCAATAAAAATACCTGTACCTGAAGACCAGGAAATAAAGTTAAATCTTTATTTAAATTGGATATATAGTTTGCATATTATATTTAGGTTGTATTTTCATTAGGACACAAATTTTTGGATACATCTTCAGAATCTTTTAAATTATATTTAATTTAGCAGTACAGAGCCCTGCTAATCATTTGGCAAAGTTCAATGGAATGATATGATTAGTGACTGTGGAACGGAGTCACAGTTACCTTTTAAAAAGAGAAAATCAGTATTAAAGCAAATTTCCTTGGGGCAAATTGGAAAGCTGGGGTTCTTTTCCCTTTCTCTATTCTTCATTCCCCAACACCCCAAATCATTCCTATAAGGAATGAACTTGAATGGTGGAGGTGAGACTTGGGAAGGTTTTACCATTTGAGAGTTTAGAAAATCTCTCTGAAGCAAGTTTAACTGGGATGAATGCTATACTTCAAGAGTGAATACATGTCCATAAAACTCCAGTACAACTACTTCTATTAATAGAGGTATTGCTACAGGTAGGAACTAGACCTGTTGGTCATGATAGTTAAAAGCATATCAGAGACTGAACACTAGAGCAGATCAGATGTATGCTGCTATCTACATTGCATAACTATAAATTTAAGCTGTAAGGCAATGGAATCTAACATGCTTTACTATTTCCAACTGTAAAAACTGGCAGTAACTAGTTCAACTGAATTTAGTTCTCTTTCAAAATTAGTTTTCATCCAGTAAGTACATAGAAAGTAGTAATACTGCTTTGCAATTTAGATTTATAACCTGACTGAGTTAAAATTAACTCACAAGTTCTGTGATCATGGTAGGCCAAAGCGAGGTAAGATGTTGTGGAGACATTCTTAAAAGTAACACTCTGAAAAACAGGAAGACTTGGGAGTGAAGAGTTGGCACTTGGGGCAAACGGAGACTCTCAACCAATCTCTCTGAAAGAAATTCAGTATATTTTCAATGGCTAAATAAATTTAATCATTATCACATAAAAACTTCCATCTAGCTCAAAAGATAGAGAAAATAAAGAGTTTTAGCTATTCACCTTGAATATCTGGAAGGTATTTCTGGTACTGGTCAATTTCACTGCTAAAAATAGCAAAGGCTAATCTTTTGAGAAGCATGGCTCTCTGTTCTAGCTCCACATCCCGGTTTGCAAAAAGATTAAGTGAACTGCTTTGGGCCACAGCTACTCGAGCTAAAAAAAGAAAGCAAGTGAGAGAGATCATGACACAGTTATTTAGTCACTTGAAAACAGATCATTCTGTTGTTTTAAAAATGGGTAGATGTTCTATGACAACTGAGAAAGAGGGGAACTTGGGGTCATTCTGTGGCACAGAAGAGCAAACACATGCCAGAAAAACAAGTAGTAGAAAATGTGATGTAGAGAGAGAGGGAAATTTAGAACTGTGGTTTTTAGAAAACAAAATCACTAATAATGCCATTTTATAAATCCCTTTAATATTTTACATCATCTGCTTAAATCCTTTGTGTTACTTTAAAAAGTAATCCTCAGTGTGGCACTGCCTAGCCTGCCTCTCTTTCTCTATGGACAACAGTTTCCAGAAAAGAGCAGAGTAAGTAATAAGAATAAATCCTGTACAGGGAGATGTTGCTTGGGCTGTCATCCCATAATACTCACTCATTAAATCTCTAAATGTCGTCTTATCATGTGTCATCAGATTATCCATAATTGCTCTCCAACTGCAAGAGATAGCATTATGATATGTAATTAAAATTGTGTTCTTATCATTGTCTTCTAACTTTTCTGGATAGTAATTGACTTCAACAGATTGTGAGATACAGTAAAGTTGAATGAAAGCAAGAGGATGACTTACTGATTAACACAAGAGGCATCCATCTGAAAGAAACTGGGATCCATGAAGAGGTCAAAGGCTTCTTTTTTCCAAGCTCTCCGTGTGTACTGATACCCACTAAGACTGCTGAGCAGCTGCACACAGGCTCGATAACTAGGGGCATTATGCGCACTGTATGGAAGAAAACACCTTAATCTCAATGTTCTAACTTTAATCATATTAAGTTAGACAGTGTTCACATTTACCTATGACAATGACATGGAGACACAAAACAGAAATCATTGTAAGAAAAATAATACATGAATAAATTTTTAAACCATTATAATGCGAGGTAAGAATAATTGTGGTTAAAATTCCAAAAATGGCAATAAAGGAACAGAACTCGTTTCTGACAGGCTATAAATTAATTTAAACCTATTTAAATCATGATAGTACCTGTGATTTCGGAGGTAGGGTACAACATAATGCATAATATTTACAAGTAAAGGAATAACTCGCTCCTTTTCATCACTATAGAAAACCATATCTAAAAGATGAGCCAAAACCTACAAAACATAAGAAACAAAACAGAAACAGACATCATCTAGTGGTACTTATTTTCAGTTTGTAAGAAAACCTAAAATACCTTAAAATCAGAAAAATGTAAATGCAGATTTCCCTAAGTCATTTTTATATTAATGGTTTCTGCCCCAATCTGTTTTTTGTCCATTATAGTGATATAATATAAATATGGATAAAATTTTCTAAAAAAGAATCTAGGAGTCTTCTAGTGTGACAGCGAGTAAACACTGAATTTAGGGCTAGAAACTCAGTATTCTCTTTCCCTGACATGAGTCAAAGAAAGTTTGGAAAAACCCAAAGAATTTAACTGAGCTGCTCAAGTCCCAACACTTGTCAATTAAAACCTATACAAATACATGGCCATTTTTGTCTAACCTTTGCAAGGTTCAGGTCCACATCTGTGAAAGGAAATAGAATGGCATATACAGCTGTATGTTAACAAGTAGATTGACAAGAAATGTACATAAAAATGTTTGCAACATGTAAAATACTTCCTAGTGAAAGTATATACCATCTCCATCCCTCTTCACTATAATAACAGCACTTTTCTTTCTTAAAAAATATCTAAAGTTATTATCACTAATACTTTATAAACAAAACAATCCAAATACAGACAAGGCCAAACCCTTATATCTGTTAATTGCATATAGTGATTTCTAGAAGTACAAAATGATTTTCTAAAATTAAATTTCTCTGTACGAATTACTTGTTAATATTTAATTATGAACTGACTTACTTAAAAGTTCATGTGAAAAAACTTGATAAGGTTTACCTCAGAAAGCAAAGTCAAGGCATGGACACTATACACAGAAGGAGTTATGTTTGAGGTTTCCATTGCAGGTGACAACATATCTAAATAAGAGCAAAGACAGGTAAGTAAAGATTTTCCCACTGAAAGAAGCTACTTTCATGAAAAAAGGGATAAGGCTGTGTTACAGTGCTGTCTGAACTGACTTCTTGGAGAATATTGCCAACAGATAAAAAAACCTAAATGAGAGCATACCTTCAACATCAGATTCCAGAGTGTTTCCATCCACCACTATTTTGGGAGAAGGCTTAACTTCCAAATTTCGCCGCAGCCATGTGGTTTGTTCCAGAGAGGAACCGGCAATTGCACCAATAGCATCCACTACTTTATGGGTCACATCCTAAAGAAATAAGGAAGTACCATTGTGTGTGTTCATACACACATACCTATGTCATAGACTTTTGATGTTTTCTATTTTCTGACAATAGATATTTTATAATAGACATTCCTGATTTTTATAGAATGCTCATAGTTAAAAGAAGCTTCACAGATTATCTTATATGACTCTGTTTTCAAGTTGATGGCATTGAGAAACAGTTTTAGCAATAGCTCTGTATTCAGAATGCCTTACCTGGAGGTCTCTTTGGTCTTTTTTATTTTCCAAACTAGGATTTTTCATAATAAACTCATTCAGAACCCTACAAGGGCCATAGAAGAAAAAGAAAAAGTATTAGTCTGAAAAAAATGATACAATTTAATTTTTGGCATTAGGTTGGTTTTGTGGTTTCCAACTCATTAAATGTTTACTGAATACATGTGTACATATTCTGTGACTCAACTGAAATGTGTAAACATATGTGTGAAAAGACACAGACAGTGATTTTGAAAGCCGCATAGGTAAGAGCCTCAAATCAGAAGAAACCCAAATGTCCACAAACAGCAGGAGATAATATTGTGTATGTGTTAATTCAGTGAGATACTGAGCAGCAAAAACAACAAATTGACTATGGCAAATAGGTTATAGTGGTAAATCCCATAAACATAAGGTAACGGTTAGTACTTTCCCACTGAAAAAAGCTACTTGCTAAACGTGAAAAAAGGAATGAGTTTGTTATTTACAGTGCTTTCACTCAAATTATATACGTTGAGTGAAAGAATCCATGCATAAAATAAAATATGCACATATAGTTCAAAAAAAGGCAAAATCCATCTGTGGTATTAAAACGATATTTATTTTTCTGGATAGATGAAAGGATAATAATTGGGACAGGTCCAGACGGGACGCTGGTGTTTCTTAATTTGTGTTTGTGATTATATATATTTGTAGGATTTTTATATGTGTATTACATATGAACAAAAAAGAGAACAAAAACCAAAACCCAATAAACTTAAATATAACATAGAAATGTTTCTTATGTATAAAAATAGATTAAAAATACTTCAGGGAAAGAAAACCCCATTCCATCATTTGCTAAGATTCTACTCAATATATACTTCAACTTGTTTTTTGATTTTTTTTTAGTAATACTGGGGATTGAACCCAGGGCTTTGTATATGCTTCTAAGCAAGTGCCTTGAGCCATGCTTCCAGGCCCCCTCATTCATGCTTCCCCAAGTTCAGGCTGACCTTGAACTCACAGTCCTCCTGACTCTACTCCTGAGTAGCTGGGATTACAGGCATGAAACACCATGCCCAACTTCAACTTGATTTTTTTCGAGATAGATTACATGCACAATTACCTACAAATTAATATGTGAGGTTTAACCTTAATATTGATTTCTGTTTTGTAAGTAGGAAATTTTAGAACAGTTGGCAAAAAAGTAAATTACTGGAAATTATAAAAGGGAATTAAGTTTCAAGTATATTTGAAATTGTTCAACTTTTTTTTTTTGGTGGCACTGGGGTTTGAACTCAGGTCCTCATGCTAGGCAGGGGTTCTACCACTTGAGCCACTCTTCCAGCCCTGTTTTGTGTTGAAAATTTTCAAGATAGGGTCTTGAGAACTATTTTCCCAGGCTGGCTTCAAACCAAGATCCTCCTGATCTCTGCCTCCTGAGCAGCTAGGATCACAGGTGTGAGCCACTAGCATCCAGCTGAAAATGTTCAACTCTTTTACAGAGGAGTACACACAAGTTCAGAACAAGGTAGGATTATTCAGTATCTGAGAACAGAAAAGGAGGTAATGAAACAATAAAAATCTTGTAGGGGAGAAGGTATAAATCTTAAGTAATTTTAATTTTTTAATGAAATTAGTCTGTAGGATTATTTGGTGATGACTCAAAGAACTGTACATACATTCCTTTCATGAGCCCTACAATGACTCCAAATTAGGTAACACATATAGAATTCTTGCCCGACAGATGGCAAAACAGCTTGGTTTATTGGTGTACTGAAAGTCATAGAGATGAGGGTTGGAACTGGGAGATTACAAGAATCAGAAATCTTAGTGAGAATGATGCTTGATGTTCAGAATTTTAATGAATCATTAAAATTCATGAATGTTAGTTTCTTAATCTTTGATTCAGGAATTATAAACACTTAGTCTACCACTTTTTTTTCATTACATCTTTAAATGTCTAAAAGTCCTCCAGCTTTTAAAGACAATTTTCAAAATAGATAGCATGAGGGTCCAGGGATCATCATGATCCCTGAAATTCATGAACAGAATCTTTAGCTTAGTATGCCTGGACTGGGCCGTAGGTGACAAGCTATTACTACCTGCTGTTCCTCTCTCCTTAAGTTCTTACCATTGTCCTGCCACATCCCATCTGCTTCCAGGTAGAAGACTATATTACCACATTTACCAGAACATGCAAGGCCATCTTACTGAAGAGCCTTCACCCTTCTCTTAATTTCATAGATCATTGGTTGCCAGACTAAAATGGTTAGTTCTTGAAGGACAATAAGGGTAGAAGCTAAGTCTATAAATATAGAACCACACATTTACACATATAAAATCACGAGAGCTATAATTATGATTATGCTTTTATTCAAAACTATGTGTGTATGTGCTGCTAGGAATTGAACCCAGGATCTCTGCCACTGGGCTACATTTCCAGCCCTTCAAAACAATATTTTTAAGGGAGATTACTTACCCAAGTATAAGAAACTGCCCTGGGGCTGGAAGACTCAGTTGTATGGAGTCTTTTAGAAGTATCAGCAGTGATGCCCAGCTATCTACTAAATTGGGCACTGGAATTCTGAAAGATAAACAGTTTGCATAGATAGAAAGCTACAATAAACTTCAGTTTTCTTTATGTCTATTTACAGTCATTAACAGTTTTCTACAAGTTTCTCTGAAACTTTCTAAATTTTTATAGACTATGATAGAAAAATTACTAAAATCATTATATTTTCTACTATAATTATGTAAGAAAAAACTAAGCACATTTAAAATACTTAAAGTGATTTCTTAATCTTGAAATTTTGCTGCATAAATTATATGGACTCTAAAAAATAAAATACAACTGCAACAATCTTCAGCCTTAATTACAATCTATCCTGAACACCAGTCTCTCACCTGTACAGAAACTGAGATAAGTTTGTTTCAAACTAACCCTATCTGTATTGAATTTAGACTTTAGGAAGTTCCTGCTCTAAGTCACAATCAATTTAAATATATCAAATAACTTTATTAATGTTAGTCACAAATCACAAACAGATGCCAAATTTGTGATTAAAATGGAATTACCCTATGTACAGGGTGAATTAAGATTTAGGTTCTTGAGTAAGAACTTTATCAAAACTAAAATCCACTTAGTTTCTGTTCAGAAGTCAGTTAAATGCAAACATGGAATACCAAGCAAGAAGATATATTCATGATATTCCTAATGTTAAAAAAAATAAACAGATTGGACTGCTACATACTCACCTATATCAAAATGATAATTCAGTGGCAATCAGCATGATTTCATGAGTAGGTTCTGCTTTTCTCTTATATTTATATGATTTTCTTAAAATTCAGTGTTTTATATTCAGGTACCTTTAATACCCTTCGGCCTTTTGGCTTTCAGGGATTTCATGGCTAAGTCACTAGCATAACCATGATTTCTACTAATATATCCACAAACAATATTTCTGTTTGTAGTTTGTGTTTTAGGGGTAAAAACTCTCAAAAGTAGTTACGGTTTAAAAAGAATTCAAATGCTTTCCTTCTATATTTCTTAACCTTTATACACTGTGACTGCAGTAAGGAAAGATGCCATCAATAATCTTACCTTTGAATATAAGCATAGAAAAACTGAAGCATGCAGACTTCCAAAGAAAGATGTTTCTATAAACAAAAGAAATCAATTTTATAGTGAAGAAAAATGTTGGCTTGGTTTTTTCATTGTTGCAACTACTCTATCTTACTGCCAGTTTTTAATGATAAAATGTTAAAAGAAAACAAAATCAAATACCTATTTATCATAAAAATGCCGCTCTTTTCTACTTATTGGGGAAAATTTGTAACACAAGAGCTATATAAAAAGTTTAAAATGGAAGGAATGGAAAGATTTTCATTTTCCTCCCACATATCAAAAACTGTTACTCCACCACTTTTAAATGATCAGTTCCTCTGTAAGCATAAGAATTAATTTTATTTTAAGCAGTTTATGGTTGGTGCTATAAGAATTAAGTTGAGATTTCTTATTATATGTGTATTTAAATCTATTTTACTATACATATCTGTTAGTGTGGTTAGCTCAAGTTTTTATTTAGTATTTAATAGCTGAAAATGTAGTCATTATTAAAGATAATGTTGAGCATATCATATAATTAAAAGAATACATCTGTGCTCGAAAATTAGTAATAGGCACAAAAATGATATTGACATCTACCACATTTGACAAATTGTTCTCTTTTTTTGTCCCAACTATTCTCTCAAGTGTTTGCTTCTTATTACATAAAGGAAAACCAGTGTCTGATGCATTCAGAACTTAGAAAGGGGAAAGAATTTGGAGGAACTGTTTTTTGTTTTCATGTGTAGCCCAATGACTGCCTTGAAATATGCTAAATTGAGCTTTCATATACAAACTAAAAATCCTATGATAAATCTCCAGAGGTGCTTTTAGAATAGTCAGATAATTTAAATAAGGGGGTTAGGAGGGCTGGGGATGTAGTTCAAAGACATAGTGCTTGCCTAGTATGCTGGGTTTGATTGCTAGCACTACAAAACAAACAAAAAGGCTAACAGCATTGGTAATTCACAAACACCTTTTTTTCTTTGCAATTCAAGATTAAAAAAAGGAAAAAAGAATTTAACATATTCAGATATATGTAATAATTTTTAAAAGATGTGATTATGTCTGTTTTGGCATGGTTTCAAAGTCTAATGTTTACAGTTGGTAAATCTTTTCTAAGAAAACGTGACCTCTTGGTATTGTATGAACAAAGCAGAAAAAAGGAGAGAAATTTCTAAGTTTTTAGACTTTCATTTGTCTACTTAGAAAGAAAGCAATTTGAGTGGAGACGAGTAGGCCGTTCATTTTCTGTTCCTCTTACCCAGCACAGTATTGTATATGGTCAAGAAATAACATTGTTTAGACCTAAAATGCCATAGGCATTGACTACAGCAAAATTTAAAAACTTACAGAATTGAAAGATTCATTCAGAAAAGAAAGCAGATCTTGGGCTGAGAAAAACAGTAAGCAAATCTTGGGCTTGACTTCTGAGTTCATCTTTTTATCAGAAAAATTCCCCATAAGAATCTGGTCACACTGTTCCTGACTGCCTTTGATATACATAAGGAGATACGACCAGTTAACTGTTCTTCACTGGGTATAGGAATGATCAGAATAGCAAGGCATTGCAGATATTAATTCTTAATTAAAGGAGTGCATGCAGTCATCTCTATAATCTACGCTAGAGATAAAGGGAAATTGGTATACAAAAAAATCTTACCCTTCAGCATCCTTTCTGAAACTGAATTATAAGCAAAAGGAAAGAAAGGTTTCTTACCTTGTCTTTGGCTATGGCTGGAGGCTGCTTTAAAACTTCTTTCACAGTCTGGATAACAGTTTCTGCTCTCATGACACTAATTGAGCGAACCAGCTCTACCAGTAAAAGCTGTTCTTCACTGGCTGCAGGAATGACCTGGATAACACATTATTGTATTCCCATATCACGTGTGTAGAGGAGACTTTTACGAGAATATTTTATGGTCTCTTCTTTACATAAAGAAGTCCTTTGACCACTTTTAAGTAAAATTTGTTTTTTCTTGATACATGTACACAATTTAAAAAAAATCAAAAATCAAATAGGACAATAAGCCTTAGAGGAATAAGAGCAATACCTTGGTCCTATCCCTTCCTACCCTAAAGTAACTGCTCAACTCTTCTGGTGATTTTCTATTATTCCTAACATCTAAATAACATACTGCTATCTTTCCTATATCATGTTTTAAAAAAATTTAGACATTACCTATTATTTCTTTTTTATTTCCCAAATTGCTGTTTTTGGTTTGCTTTCTCTGTATCTATTGCAAATTCATCTTGCTCCAGCAACTGTAAATCTCCTCTAATTATATACTGGAGTATTCCAGGTAACTAATCTTGTGCCTTTTGCTTCCCTCTTCTTCAATCTTCTGGTTGTTTTTTTTTTTTCTTTTCTTTTCTTGAGACATTTCTGTTCTACCCTGTATTGGTACTTTCTAGGCTTGCTTCAAAGTGTCATGTTAACATCTGTCTTGCCACCATCATTCTGAAGAGGACCCTTATTCTTCTGTGCTGGAACCCATGTTCTTGGGCCCTCTGTTGTCTTCTGTCTGGGTTTATTCCTTCTTTGGTAGAGAAGCATCTTCCAGTAGGCTGAGAAAGAGTGAAATGATTGCCTTTTTTCTTTTTCTCAAGATATTACATGTCTTGAGTAACAGTTTGGCTGGCTAGAAAATTATAGGCTCAAATTTCCTCCTCACCAAAATTTCCAGTGTTGTTATGTTTTTTAAAGGAGACTTTAGGATGTTCTCTTTATCTGCCAATGTTTCTGTTATGACATGCTGATTTTTTTGTAGGTATCTTTTCACAGTGCTGGGCATAAACTGGAAACTTATTTCCTTCATTTCTTAAGATTTTCTTGTACTATATTGTTAATAATTTTATTTCTGTAAAAAGACACTGTACATCCAGTATTACTCTTTAATTTTCTTTCTCTTTTCTCCTATTTTCCTAATCTTTATTGGTATTTATCTACTTCTGGAATTTATCCACTTAATGTTCCATCCTTTCTTCAATTTTTTAAAATTATTCATTTATTCACATGTGCATACATTGTTTGGGTCATTTCTCCCCCCTTCTCCCTGTCTCCACCCTCTTCCTCCCTCCCCCCCTCACTTCCAGGCAGATCCTGTTCTGCCCTTACCACTAATTTTGTTGAAGAAAAGACATAAGCATAATAAGGAAGACAAAGCGTTTTTGCTAGTTGAGTTAATGATAGCTATACAGAAATATTCCTAGCATTGCTTTCGTGTACACATGTGTTACAACCCATGTTGATTCATCTCTAACTGATCTTTACACTGGTTATTGATCCCCTTCTTATGTTAACCTCTGTTGCTTTAAGGTTTCTGTATTAGTTCCTCTGGAGTGGGGACATCAAATGCTTTCAAACATCCTTTCTTCAATTGATAGTGCTTCTTCCTGCCAAAGCATTAACTCCAAGAAAAATTTTAATTTTTGGAATGCTCTTTCTATTCAATGTGATCTCTACTACTAAATCTTCATATGCAAACTAACATAATAGTAGTAGAAATATTTATATTTATTATTTAGGAATATCAGTATACATGTAATGTGAAGTCAGCACTAAAACAAATCAGCAACTATTTGGTGCAAAAATATTTTGGATGAACATAAATCATTTAATAGCATAATTACTTTAAAATGTCATGATTTATTTCCAATGTAGAACAGTAGTTTTTGAAATTTCAAACTCGCAAAGCAAGCGATGAAATTTTCACTCATAAAATTCAGTTAAAAACAATAATGAATTACATCTAAAAACATTAATTACTTAAATTATAACATAATAAAAAACTACAGTTATGATGAAAACTTTCTCCATATCTTTGTTTTGTGCCCTGAATGAACAGAGTTTTAAGAATATACTGTATTGGGCTGGAGCAGTGGCTTAAGTAGTCCAGCAAGCACAAGGCCCAGAGTTCAAACCCCAGTACTACAAAAACAAAACAAATCAAAACCACTGCATCGTGTGATAATTTCTATTTAAAGTACAGCAACAGGATTAATCTTGTACTAATTTCTCTTTTTTCCCCACAATAAACAATACTTCTTTTCTTTTCTTTTTGTTTTTTTGGGAGAGCTGGGATCAAACCCAGGGCCTTATGCATGCTAAGCAAGGGCTCTAACATTGAGCAATACTCCTAGCCCTAAAATAGTATCTTTTATGGTTGATACCAAATTTTAATAAGAAATTTAGGCAACAAGTCATTATCTACACCTGTAGACAAACTTGCTTCCAACTCCCCACTCACCTTAGTCCCACTGCAACCTATAGAGAATTGAAAAACAGCACGTACTCACAAAATGAAATAAATTAGTATGTACTGATCAAATGAAAAAAAAAAAAAGGACCAAATGTTTAAATACATACCTTGGCTCGTGTAGTGGTTTTGTTCAGTCTTCTTTCGTTCCATACAAATGCAATGGCAGCCATAAAATGAACACCATGATTCATTGAAATGGGGCCCAATAATTCAAGTATTTGTTGTCTCAAGTTCTAAAATAATTTAAGCAAATTACAAGTGAAAAAATACGAAAACACTAATAACAAGACAGAACTTTTAGTTTAGTAACAGCAGAAGAACCTTTAATAGTTTTAAGAGCTATGGCCAGGTGTAGTGGTAAAGTCTGTAATTCCAGCACTCTAGAGGCTGAGGCAGGAGTATCAGGAGTTTGAGACCAGCCTGGGCAACACAGTGAGATCTGTTTCAAAGCAAACTTAAAACAACTGCAACCATGCCTATTTTAATTCTAAGACAAACCCTTAAGATGACAATTACCTATCAGGCAAATGCGAATCTAAATATTAAGATAAAGTATTAGAGAAATACAAAATATGAAATTAGTTCTCATCCCTTCTCTTGCCCCAATTAAATGTGTTCTGATGAACCCTAGATCTAGATGATCATAAGGTCTAGGAGTAAGGTCAAGTTACTGAGGTATGTCAACTTGAAAATTTAAAAAATGCTGACAACAATCACATAAAACAGAAAAAAGTTTAAAAATATCAGAGAACAAAAAATTTCAAAAAAAATCATAGGCTCTGAGCCTATCATTCTAAGATAACCACTTCTAAAACATGGACTTTCTTGATTCCTTTTTCTGCACATAACTTTTACATAACTGAAAGCAGTTATTAAATTATGTAGCAACCTATTTCACTGAACTTTTGAGGACTTTTCTATCCAGTAAGATTTCTTGCGCTGGAGGAGGAGCTCAAGTGGTGGAAGGCTTGTCTAATATTTGTGAGGCCCTGGCTTCAATCCCCAGGAAGTACAACAAAACAAAACAACAGAAACACCTTCAAAACCAGAATAATCAGTGGCTAAGTAATCTAACATCTTGAGACAGTAACTTGTTTTCCCACTTCCTTATTTAGGGACTCTCATTTTACCATTAAATACCACTATCATGAGCACTGCATAACTTTGATTACCTTAAAATTCATTCCTAAAGTCAATTACTAGGTCAAACATTATGAAACTTTTTATTTTTATTTTTTGGATAGGAGTTCACTATGTGGTCCAGGCCAGATTCAAACTTGTGATCCTCTTGCTCAACCTCCTGAGTGGTGGTTTTAGGTATGTGTTACCATGCCTTGCAAAGACTATGAAATTTGGGCCAGGAGCTTGTAATCTCAGCTACTTGGGAGGATCACCATTTGTGGGAAGTCCAGGGAAAAAGTTAGCAAGACCCCCAACTCAACAAACAAGCTGGGAGTGATAGGGTATGCCTGTAATCCCCACCACACAGGAAGCATAGGTAGGAGGATCTTGGTTTAAGACTTGCCTCAGGTAAAAATGTGAGACTCTATCCAAAAAATAACTAAAGCAAGAAAGAGCTGGGGGTCTGTCTCAAGTGGTAAGGCCCCAATATTGTCAAAAAACCCCTTAAACTTTTAAAGCTCTATGTACATATTGCTAGATTGTTTTCTCAGAGGGTTTTGCATATTATCAATATAAATGTACTAAAAAAGGGAACAAAGTTATAACATGTATGACTGAGTATCAAAAACATGTTACATGAAAGAAGATAGATATAAAAGACCAAATATTATATAACCTCATTTCTATGAAATGCTCAGAAAAAATCAAATCCATACATAGAGAAAACAGACTAGTGGTAGACTGGGGTTAGGAATGGAACAGAGTGAGCATAAATGGGCACAAGGAATAGTTTTTTAGTGAAGGATGTAGTTTAAAATTGGATTGTGATATTCATGACTTTGTCAATTTACTAAGAAAAATCACTATTTGTACATTTAAAATGATGAATATTGTGATCACATCTCAGTAAAACTGTTATTTTATAATTAATCCATGGAGAATGCCATTAATACTATTTAAATTATCCACACATTCTAAATATGATCTTGGGGAAAGTCCTCAAATATACTCAAGATCTACGGACAAGGTAAGAATTGTCCAACCTTTGTGGCTCCAAGATTAATAGTGGTAACAGATGCAGATGCAGCAACAATCATCTTTTCTGAAGCATCAGCCTGGTGCAGTATGCTCCAAAGCAGAGTCACCGAGGACAAGATCATGTGAAGGATGGAGAGGATTCCACTGCGTGCTTCAAACAAGTGTTTTTGGTCCACGTTGACCAAAAGCTATAAAGTGTGAGGAAAAAAAAAAAAACATGGCAACTAAGTGGGAAGCAACTGGACCTTATGGTCTTTAAAAAGGATTCACCTATTTATGAAGTCTTACTTGATGATACTGTGTAGTTGGATCCAACAAACAGTAATGAATAATGGCTGTGATCCCTTCCAGAAGAGTTAGAATCATATCTGGTGGAATAATCGATGCCATCCACAGAGGCCTGAAATAAAATGTGTTCATCTGAACCTAAGATCTGTGAATGCATAGTTCATATTTTACCACTAGTAAATTTATAGCACACACCAGGCACACAGTAGGTATTCAATAAGTAGTGGAAGACTAAATAACTAAAAGAATAAGTCAGGGTTTCATTTCCTAATCTATAAAATAAGTGAGTTGGTCTAAATGCACTAGAGTTGTTTTTGGCTGAAGAATTATATACAAAAACACACACTCTACCACTGAGCTGTATGTATGCTCAGCCATACTTAAGTTGTAACTGATTTTTTGGACATTTATGCAGTCATATGTGAAAAATGTCAACATTAACACTTACCTACTATCAGATAATCCTGTTTCATATTTGTACTGCTGAATTAGATTATCCAAATTTCTGCACAGCTGTAGTGTCACGGAAACAACCACTCTCTGTAGAACTTTTCCCATGTAAGGTAAAGTAGATGTGATTAAGCCAATCCACTGTGGGTGCATTTTACATGCACAATGTTGATGTAAAGCACGTATCACTGCACAGAGGAACATTCCTTGACATGTGATTGGCTGAGCATGCAAATACTGCAGAGAAGTCATGGGCTGATGAGGGCTGATGTGTTCCAGGTCAGAAACAACAAAATCAAAACCTGCTTCATTCTCTTCAGGAATAGTCATCACCCGGTGTTCTAGAACAATCAGCCTTTGAAGCACCCTAAGGAGTTGTGACTGGAGTGTGCTTCCATTGTCAAATTCATCCTCTGAGAAATTAATAAGGCTGTCTTCTGAGAAACCTTCTTCCACAGCAACCATATTCTTACCTGCCATTTTCTCACTATACCATTTCTGTGCACTAAAGATAGACGACAGCAAACAATGAAGAATCACTTTTTGAACTTTGCACTTAGATAACATATCGGAGATAAAACTAGGGAAGCCCTTTGCCGAGCTTTCTATTACTTTTGCCAGCTCAGTAAAAAGGAGAGTCAAAATTTCTATGCTCATCATCTGCATGTTTCGATTGCCTATTAAGTCTTGTGTAGTGACCTTGACATGAGTTGGGTAATGGCTACGCATATAATATAAACAGAGGGAAATAAGGATTTCTATGTACATGGAACTACGGAAGTTATGATTTGAGTCCACTGGAATGTGACTATAAAAGTCTTTGCCCATGACAGAGATCCGGTGTCTGGCCAATAGATTCTGAAGCAGAGACAACTGAGGAGTATATGCATTATTTACACTAGTGGTTGAAATGGCATTTACAAAAGAAACAGGGTTAGTTTTCAAGATGGCCTTGATGGCAGAGAAAGCATACAGAGTCCTTGATGAATCATACAACTGGAGATACAGGAGCACATGTTGATACAGAGGATGGATGTTGAAATTGGGAGATTTCCGTGATCCTGGAGAACCCATATCACTCTCAATTTCAGAAATTTCTCCTTCTCCACAGCTATACCAATTCTCTAAATCCAGACCATCACTAAAGAAAATACTGGCTTGTTTGAGTTTTTCATTTGCAGTTTTTTTCTTGTCCTCATCCTTTTTCCTGGCAAGTTTCACTTTGGGTTTTGCTCCTGGTTGTTTACCTGATTCCTTAACAATTGTTTCTTTCTCTGAGACTTTTTCTGGTAATTTTTCTTTGAAGCTGAATTGGATACTACTGTGACTCCTCTGTCTAGATTTGGTTTCTGTGGAGGCAACAGAAGGATCATGGAGGGTTTGTGTGGTTCCTGAAATACAAGGTGAGGAGCTGTTTCTGGAGATTCCGTTTGCCAAGTACTCATGGCCTTCCTCTGAAGACACGGATGGAAACTGAAGACTTTCATTACTCAGAAAAGCACTCTGACTCTGCTGAGTGGATTGATCTTCGCTTTTAATCACCTCCTCACTTAGTTCTAAATCACTATCTTTTGGGGGAAGAGCTTCAATTTCTATCTCGGATGTAACTGACGCAGATTCTGCTTCAAGGCCACTTACAACTTTACGTATCAGGTCAAACACCACCTGTTGAACATCATCATCTGGAGAGCTTGCTTTTAGCATGTGAGAATCCTCTTGGGCATTTACATTTTCAGTATCAGCCTCATAACTCAAGTTGTCCCCAGCTGAGGACTGTGAACATCCAGAGTCAGAACTCTGAAGTATTTCTATCTGTTGGTCTGGAAGATCAAAATCAGACATAACCATTGGAATCGTCTCGCTACTGGTACTTAGGAGGGAAAGTCTGTCACTCAGTGGATTAACAGTGAGACTGAAATTTTCTATTTCATCCATGGTAAGTGGCTTTTCACTATTTTCTTTTGAGGCAATGAGTTGAACTTGGCTTACTGGCATATGACAAAAATAATAAGAGAGGAAGAAAACAAAAGGCATTAAAATAATTAAGAGGTAGAAAGGTAGACTGAATTCAAAATTTTAATCATTATTTTCACCACCTACTTACATTTTCTTATTAAAAATCACATTCTTATTTATCAATTCTTAGATCTTTAGAGTCAGAAATTATGTGAATGACTATAATTGAACTTAAAGAATGTAAAATAGTTTTAATTAAGGTAAAATAACTTAAATTAATGTAAAATAATTTTTTTAAATTAGCATACAAGGTTTCACTGTGTTAATTCCATAATTAAAATTTGTAACAGTGATAACAGCAAATTTAAAATGGGCAAAATATAAAAATTTATCTTCTTTCCACAAAGTAAAACATTTTTTATTACAAATTAAAAATTTATTTTTCTACCCCTGTGATAATTCCCTATAGTTATACTGTTTCTAAGAATAGTATATAGTTAAATATAAAAATAGATAATGTCCTTGATTTTAATAAAAATTCAATAAGTATGTATGAATTATATGTGTGAGACTGTAAACTGAGAGATAGTGAAAAGGGGAAGAAGAGATCACTACTTCTGTCTGAAGAGCTTTAAATTAGTAGGAGACCATAAACACATTTATTCACTTCTATAATTTTGGGGGCATATTAGGCTGATGAAATTATTTTAGAAAAGGTAGAAGACTCAGTGCCATATACATAGTGCACACCAAACTACTACCCAATTCATAATACCACAGGGAAGGTCTGAGGCGGATTGCAGTGTGTGGGGGGTGAGAATTCATCAGATAAGAAAGGACTGTGGCAGGTAAGGTGCTGTCACCAGGATGTTCTGGCAATAAGCAGGATAGAGTAAATTCTTATAATATCCAGGGTAAGCTAGAAAAGAAGCTGAACAGTGGAACCACAGCTCTGTACAACACACTAGGGCTGGAGTATGAGCATAATGGTTTGGTTCAAGCTTCACTGTTTACCAACTGTGGGACTTTGAAAAATCCACAGCTTTCTAAACATTAGCAATCTGCTTGGTAGAAGAGCCTTTTTATTACTAACCTCAGAGGATTATTTGTCAAGAGAGAGAAATAAGATATGAGTCTTTTGTTCCTGATAAAGGGCCCTTAGCATTACATAAAGGGTATCAATCAACAGTTTGTAAAGTATGGACTTTGTAGTAATAATAATGAACACTTATCAAACCCTTATGATATACCAATCACTGTAGCAAACATATCACAATCACAACTACATCTAATGTTCATTACAGAGCACTGAGTGGAGGATTTTGTTATTCCCCCTTTACACAGGAGGAAAATGACTCATCAAACAAAGTGTGTTACTGTAAATTCCCTGTGAAATGTCTACAGAGCCTTTTCAGGACCCATATTGCTAAATAATTTCCAAACTGAAGAATGTCTCTCACCACAGCTGTGGCTGATTCCTCCCCTGAGAAAGGAAAAAAATCACATGCAATTCTTGTGCCCATCACTGTTGTGCTCACATTTCACTTTAATAACTTAATTCTAAATAAAGGTGTTCTACTTCCACATGATATTCACCATTGCTGCAGGCAAAATTTTGCAAAAAATGCTTGTCACTCTCCTCTCCTGGATAACAGGGTGTCTTATTCCAATAACGTTCTGCTTGTACACGCTGCACTGAAACCCTCTGAGTTTTTGGATGAAGCAGGAGCAATAGCAATGGTTCTAAAACTCTTGCAATATCATGTCTTTGTAGGACTTGGTTCAGCCAGGCTTGTCCCACAGAGCTGGTAGAACCATCAAGACTGTTAAGGCTATCTAACATGATGAACAGTGACCTAAAATAAACACCAATAATTACAATAAAGCACAAAACACCTCTAATTGTAACAGTAATTTTTCTGCAATTAACATATTGTAAACTGTGTTTATTTTAAATTAACTATTTTATGGTAATCATAATTTAAATTTTGACCACAGTAATTTTCAATCGTAATCTCAGTATATGCAATAAAAAAGGAGAAAACAGGGTTTTTTTTAAATATACTTATTTTTGAAATATCACAAGCATGCATTATGTTTATAAGATAAACACTAAAGAATAGAAAAAGTCTTGTTTTAGCAACATAGTCTATTGAAATCATTACATACTAAAGCTTCTGCAAATCAACATTATTTGCACACTGGTCAGGGCTATCTTGCTTCCATTCTCTACAGGAGTCAAAGGTATGTTCATAATTCAAGGAAAGATCTTCTGCGAAAGACACGGAAGTATGATTTGGAATAGGAAAAACTGAGATTCAAATCTCTCATGGCATCTTGGGCAAGCAGCTTCTCTGGGCTTCCACTGTATCATTTGTAAGATAAGGGAAGGTGGTTGTCAAGTTAGAGACAAGTATTTGCATAGTACCTAGCTCAGGGGCTAGTTCATTGTAGGGATTCAAGACACGCTTCAGTAGTGACTTATTTAAAATTGGAAATGCTAGTCGAAAAAGCACCAGCTGAAATGACCACACACCTAATCTGAAGCTATGCTTTAAGCATAGATTTGTGGTCATTCTATGAGATGTACAGACGAGACTGCTAACTTATAACAATAAGATACTTATAAATGGCAGTTCCTTGGAAATTAATGCAAATCTGATATTTAAGGTATGAATCACTTCAGTTGATATTAGGACAAGACAAAAAGGAAAATTACTCTCAAGCAACTACAGGTTCTTTAAATTCATTGAGGGGGTTTGTCAGTGTTTTCAGTTACAGATTTTGGTTAAGTCCAGTTCATGGTGAAGATTGAGAATGATAGGTTGAGAAACACTTAAACAATATACTTTTTATATGTAGTTTCATCAAATGTGAACACAGACTCAAGAAGGCCATGCTCATTTCTGTATCCCTGGCACGTAGAATGGTCCTTGGCAAATAAT